GCGAGTCACCCCCTCTTTCCTGGCTTCGGCTGGAGGACCTTTGAGCGGAGCTCCGCGCCGCCGCGGTATGCAGGAAAATGGTCCCCCTTTTAAAGGCCAGTAGTTAGTGTTCATCACTAGGGAGTAACTAGGGATGACATCATCGGACATTTCCTCTTAACCACCGAGAACGTTTGTGAAAGGGATAGCCCCCCATCTCACCGGCCTCCTTCTGAGCTTTATAAGTTTACTGTTTTGTTTTCTAAAGTGTGCGTTCATTTCTTAACTGCTAGATACCAAGAGGAAGTTTAGTAATAGGCTGTGAGACTGAATCCATTGTGTTTCCCTTGAATCGATGAGAGGTACTTTAAAAAGGGAACTGTGCGTGTTGCCTTGCTCCGCCCTCGCCACCCCCCCATGTTTGTCAGCCATGCAGGCTATTTTAAAAAAGCTCAGTGTGGTAGTAGGCTCTTAATTTTGGTAAAATGGTAAAGTAAGATTTTTTTTAATTGAGGAAAACCCCACTTCTTTTAAGATTGCAGCTGCCATCAGAGCCAATAAAGAATGTAGTCAACTGGAATCCATAATCATTTCTAGTTATAAGGAAATGCTGTGCTCTCCTTTGTTCTTGTTATATAGGGGGATATGAAATAAGGCATTTATTTGCATATGCCCAGCTCTTTAAACTTGAAGAAAGTACATTAATAATTTAGTGAAAACGTACTTTTCCTTCCCTCAGTTATGCCTCAGAGTAGAAAGTAGTGAGCGTATGTTCACTCTACAATAGGAAAGGTAAAAGTTCTTGCTTCTCTTTTGTACAAGAATGTTTGGAACAGTATGGTAAGACCTGAACCAGTCTGTTTAAGGGTTTATTGCAGGTAAGATAAGGTAGGTCTCCCAGCTCCATTGTGAGACTCTTGCTGTCAGATGGGTTTGAATAGGACAGGCGGCATCTTCTAGGCAAAATAGAGGTACAGGTATACAAGATTTGACCGCAGTGGAGTTTGTTCCCAGGTGGAATGTGGTGCACCTTAGTAACTGAAGAACCAGAAAGTGAGAGAAGCACCTTCTACCCCGCTTGCCAAAATGTGGGCTTTCCGAGATTTGGCATCATAAACAAATGAAAACCAGTGGAATGGTAAATTTACAATAAGGGCTTTTTGTTTATATCTAAATATGGGCCTACCACTCTTTCCTCTGGAATAAGAAGTCCAGCCTTGAAACCCTACTATACTTGAGTATGATTAGTGTAATAGTGTTGGTACAGATAAAGCTAGTATCTAAATCGCCATCAGATCTAAAAGGCTGTAATCCCTTTTAATGTCTCATTGAGGTTTAGGTAGACTGGAGAGGACACAAGTGGGAAAAGAATCCCCTTCACTTCTGATTAAGGAAGAGGAAAATGTAAGGTGAAGACATTAAGAAATGTTACCAGTAAATATAAACATAGATTCTTTTCATATTGCTTATAATTCATCTCTCTCCCTTCCTCTTTACCCAGAAGTTGAATAAAGAGGCTAATTTACTGTCAGAGGAGTTTCTTGTGCTGTCTATTCCTTAAGAGCATATAATAGTCCAGCTTGGGTCACTAATACCTGAGAACATTTACCTGCATCAATCTAACAACCTTTTTTGACCCTGTGCACCAGCTGGAGTAGTTAACAACCCAACACATAAACCTTGAGGTGATTTACTGTATATTTTTAATGATAAGAATTCATAGAGGTGATAAAAAATCACCAAATATTGCCTTAAAATCTATATTGCTTAGAAGTAAACAAAGTGCTGCTTGTCATCAAGACAAATGATTTTTACTGAGGTTAATCCATAGTAATTGAGGATGGAGACACCTGTGTCTTATTCATTTTTGTATCCCCAAGCCCTATTACTTTAAAAAGCCCAGTAAGCCTTTAAGAACAACAGAAGAGAACTTTTATGATCACGAAACTCATATACAGAGGATTTATTCGGCATGTTCACATCTTTTGACAAGAAATTAAAAATGTTTCCCAGGTCTAGTCTTTGTCTTTATGCCAAAATAGTATACTAGCCCTTACGTGAATGGGAGGGAAAATAGCAGTATTATAACTCTTCATTTTCCATGTGTGACTAAGTAACACCTTAGAACATTTAGCGCTTGAGAATTATATTATGATACTTGTATAATGGTGCTTGTATAACAGTGCTTGTGTAAAATATTAAGCATTGGTGCAAAGTATAGAGTTTGAAATAGAGTACTTTTTTTTATCGTATTAGGAGTTAAGAATGGAATTGGGCTTTATTTTGGATCTCATACTGTAGCATTATGCTTTTAATATCTCATTAAAACTGTATGTCCTCATTTGATGTTGATATTTTTCAGAAAATGATGTTAATTTGGGTGGATACAAATCAGTCTTAA